TGTTTTTACAGTCAGCTCAGATCCTGCAGAACTGCCAGTTTTCCTGGACCTGCTGCAAGGGACTCAGGATCCCAAGGACACCTGATCAGACTGCACTGTCACTTAGAGTTTGGTCATGTCCCAGTGGCAAACCTCTGCCCCTTGTTCTGTTCGCTGTGCACTGTGTGGGCTCTTCACAGTTGGCTTTTGGACTTCTTTTTTTTATTAACTTCAGCAGGTGACATTTTTACTTAAAAGTTAATGACTCTATTACCCATTGCAATCGGCTGGTGATGCTGGTATCTGCTCATCTTTTCATCCCGTTAAAAAAAATGGGATTATTCTTAAGGAGTTCACCTCTGCTATAATTTCCTTTTAAACTCAGAGCTTTTTGACTCATGGCAGGAGAAGTAAGGTTTTAGGGTATTCAGAATTCCTTTTTTCTGATTGGTTTTAATGCACTTCCACAAATCTAAAATAGAGTTCTCTGATTAAATGCAGTTTCTCTCAAGAAGTTTCTCTCAAGTAATTCTTGGAAAATAGTGTAAGCTGTGTATACAGATAAGTAGCACAGGAGGAGAAAAAATGAAAGTATGGTTAACTTCATCTGTATTTCTTCCACACAGAAGCAAACAGAGTTTCACTTCTGTAGATGACAAGAGAGCAAAAACTTTTTAATGCATCTTATGGTACAAATTCTATGTTTCATAAGCCAAGAAAAAAAAACTATCAAGTGCCTTGATTCTGTCTCTCTTATTGTAAGGCTGGAAAAATGAAAAATGTGTGAATGCAGAATTAACTCAACTAGAACTGACAGCTCTCTACTCATAGTCAACCAAGGGCAAAGGGATGATTTCAGGAATGTATTGTTATTGAGGTGAGAAGCGTAGGGAATGGAAGGTCCAAGATCTGCTAACGTGGAGTGCCAGAACCACATTTGGTGGTGTTAACGTGAGCCTGACATAGAGAATGCTACAAACAGCTCCACTCCAGCCTCCAATGGCTCCAGCCCGCTGGGTACGTTTGTTAGCAGCTCTTCTGTCGGTAGAGTAAAATCAGTAAGGTATTTCTGCAGGAGTTACACTGCGACTGCGTTATACACTGCACAAATGCTAGAAGTGTGCCAGTGGGGCTGCGCAAATACCGAATGATACATTATACATTAATGTATACATTATATATAAATGTTACATTATATATAAATGTAGGTATCCGTGCATGTATAATATTTTACTGAAAAACTAATTCACAGTGAGATGTAAAATAAAAGTTCTGTAAGCGCTGGTATTAATTAAAGTTATCTTCCTGTGTGTTCACATCTTAATTGCGTGACCCCAGTACCTAATATGGTGTGAGTCCAGATGTACTTTTTCTTTTCCATGAGGTGTTTACCTGTTTGCTGGGAGTCGCCCTGCTGTTGGTAAGACACATGGCTGTCAGTGTTGTGCCCTCAAAGTGAACTTACAGGATCTAGATGTGCCCCCAAATCAACCAACAGGTTGCAGGTGTAACAAAAGGGAAATACAGATAAAAATACAACTTCCTGAAGGGAGGTTGTGATGAAAAAGGGTCTGGCCTCTTCTCCCAGGCAAATAATAGGACCCGAGGAAACAGCCAGAAGCTGTACCAGAGGAGGTTTAGGTTGAACATTAGGAGAAACTTTTTCTCTCAAAGGGTGGTCAGGCACTGGAATGGCTGCACAGGGAGGTGGTGGAGTCGCCGTCCCTGGCAGTGTTCAAGAGGTGCCTGGATGAGGAGCTACGAGATGTGGTTTAGTAGCTTGTGGTACTAATAGGAATGGGAAGGTGGTTGGACTGGATGATCTTGCAGGTCGTTTCCAACCTTGCGATTCTATGATCCTACTGTTTGAAGCAGTGATGTTTTCATGGTGCAATGTTCTGATGAGGAAATAGATCAAAAACACCTACTGATTACTCCTCCATAATCTATTATTTGAGTGGAATTTAGTTGTTGGGTTTTGGGTTTGTTTTTTTTTTTTTTTTCCTGTGTGTATTTGTTCCTCTGTTTTTATAAAAACAGAGAAAGGCAATTTTATGTGCTTAATGCTGAGAAATCTCTGAACTTGGGAGAGTAAATAGTGCCTAGTAGGAAATTACATTTGTTTTCTTCCCGAACTTCTATTTGAAACGATGTTTTTCAAGCACAAAAGCGTAGTTTTGTCTTTGTAATGACATTGGTAATCAGCTGCCTTCTTTATCTTCCCTGGAGATTGTTTTGTCAACTGAATGCTTGTGAGTCCAGCACCAGAGCAGTTCCTACAGTACAGATACAGAGAGTGGCTTTGGGTTTTTGTTCTTAGCATAGCCTGCTGAGGGCTGTGCAGCAAAACGGCTTGTTTACTCTCTGCAGCTTCTCTAAGAACAGACTTCTACGACAGCTAGAGTTTAACAGGGGCGATTTCCTTTCGTAAATGTATTTCAGAAGATGCACGTCACTTATTTTTCTTCCAATTACTGTGAAAAATCAACTTTAAATCGGAGTGCTGAGGATGTGGGACCTTGTTAGTCCCTCGATACTGAAATGCAGAAGGATCGTTTGAGACGTAGGGAAGTACAAGTGGCATGTCACTACTTTGTACAGCCCATCACGAGATGTATTAATAAGATGGCAGATCACCTTTTCTATAGCTGTTATCTAAAGAGCCACAGAGGGTTTGCCAAATGGAATATTAATTCCTGGTTCAAATGCAAATGCCTGTAAGGTGAACTGATGTTTATCGGCTCAGTGTCTTATATTGGAAGAATACCAATACTGTGTCTGAATAAAACTGCAAGTGAGTTTATCAAGATTAATTGTAACCTTGCTATCCATTGGTTAAGGAAAAAGCAAACTGCCAGCGTATCTTCCCTTGACTTACCAACTGGTATTAAAAATATGATAAAATTCTGAGATTCTAAATACAATTCTGAGTAGTCTGTTTTAAAAAATATTTCACTTCTGAGAAACCTCTCTCAAATCTGTTTTCAAAGGCATTTAAGAACCTTCTAAAGTCCCAGTGTATGATTAAAATTCCAGCCACGCATCATCAGATTTGAAGTAGCACATCATCTCCTGCCTGATAACATGCACTGATACCGTGCTAGCCCTGAGGAAATCCTCTCCCTGGCAAATCTGGAAGGCAGTAGGGAAGAGGGACCTCCTGGGTCAGAGTCCATGCCACTTCCATCAGAAGTGATTACATCAGCATAAACCCCTTTGGCAAATGGATTAGGCTCAGTTTCAGAAATGTAAGCTGTTCCTGGCGCTCTTTATGGAAGACCATGGCAGCATTTTATTCCAGCATTCATTTTACTATAACTGCTTTTTGTCTGCTGGTTCTTGATGGCCTGGGTCATTATTTTCCCCTTTCCCTCTCGCTTGGCCGACTATTTGATCTCCTAAAGTACTTAAAATAATTGTTCTTCTCTTTGTTTATGTTTGTGTTATGTTTAGCTAAACAAGCCAACCTTTATATTCTCCTTGCAAAATATAGGGTTTTTGCTCCTAATGCTTTCGCAGCAGTCCCTCCAGCCGGTACAAGTGCAGGGAACCATCAGTCACAGACACACATGGCCCAGGTTCTAAAGGAGGTAAAGTACCCAGTGGTACCAATACCTCTGCCTCCTTTTGACCTTTCTCTGTAAGCCCTGTGTTGCACTGCTGTCTTCATGGCCATGGTTACACAGGCATCTTGGGATCAGCTTCAGATCCAGACAGAAGGAGAACTGTGCTCTTTTCCTCTGTCACTTGCCATCAGCTAAGCCTAACATAAATTCTTTTTTAATTATCACTAGTAGCTGTGTATTATTATTACATTTTCACCTATTTTGATTATTCGCTTAAACAAGATCACCTAGGAGTAAAACTCCAGTGTAAAACCATTGCGTGTGCTGACTATGCCTTATATCATTAGAAACTCCCACAGGGGCTCTCCTATTTTGGCACCAACATTATTAATTAAAATACTAAATAAGACTGCTCCCAAATGCAAAGCTGGGGAACACCAGTAGTGATTGTCTTCATGCACAGATTTTCCCATTCGCTTTTGCCTCCTGTCACGTTCTTAGATATGTTTTAACCCAGCACACAGTTCTCATGCTGATCTCTCTTCCACTGTCATTGTTTCTCAATGTCATGTAAAGATGAGCTGTTTCAATGTCACATAAACATGTAAAATGACTGTTTTATAACGATGCAGAATGTTGTACTATTTGTCTTGCACAACTTCTTTCTTTGTATGTAAAATGAACTTCAAACAAGCAGCAAAGAGATTAGAGATTTCATTTCTGAAGTTACCTAATCGAAGGCTTATCATAAAATCCAGCAAATATGATGTTTCAGTTCTTTGAATAGATTTTGTTGAAAACGGAATAAGAAATCAAGTTACTCAAAGATGGAGATGAGATAAATAAAGTGATTGAACTAAGACTGAAACAGTGAAATAATTCAGATGAGCATATCCACAATCAGTGCACTGGTAATGAAGGCAAAATATGTAGCAGACATCAGAGTTTTCTAGTCTTATTTAATAGGTCTCACACTGTCTAATGTGGAGAGAACGTGAGGGGCCAGATACTTTCCAGTCAGATACTCCATCCACTGGAGGCCAGTGAAGTCTAATGACTCAGCTGTAGACAAATGCAATGTCTGAGTCCCTCAGTTTCTGTATTTGTTCTGGTGTTAAACCTTCTCTAAGGGAAGTTGCTAACCCTGATCATTTAGAGCTGGTTTCAATTGCATTGCTGCAAACTGTTGTGGTTTTGTGTTGTTTTGAATTATATTTACTTATTTATTTATTGTTATATTGCCTTTGTTACCTGGAAGCAGACAAACTTAGGTTAGGCATAGATAAGTATAGTAAAGTGTATGTTTTCACGTCTGCTGGCTGTAGCAGGGCTTCAGGTATTTCCCCTTTCACTTCTGGGCAGACTCTGAAGAGAAGAAGGGATCACGTGCAGTCTCCAAAGTGGTTGGGTTGTTCTAGATGCGTTTTGCCTGCGTGCCACTCTTGTTTTTTGTAGGTGTCATTTGCTTCAGGAGGCACAAGTGTAACACCAAGATCTGCTGCAGCCATCTGTCCACCCAGTGCAGTGGGCAGGAAGAGAAGCCTCAAGGTGGATTGGAGAAGATTTTATTCCAGGTAGGTGAGTTTTTGCTGATAGGGTTACAATGGCAGCCTTCTACCTGGGGAGCAGCTAGAATACTGCAGGCAGTAAACTACATCTTAATTATCTAATAATCTGATCAGCATATTTGCTCCATGCAGATATTCTTGTCGTGGCAGTTACTTCAGCGTGCTCTCCCTCCCTTTCTTTTAAGCAATTCCCCAAGACTCTGCTAGGTACAAAATCTGGGAACTTAATGCACAAACTGTTTCTACACACTTTATGCATAACTATGGACAAAACACTGGGAGATGTACAAAATACTGGGAGGCTGATGATGTGATTTGAAGTTTCAGAGGGTTAGCCTAAATCAGACCTTTTGGTTCTCGTCCGCTGAATCTCGTTCCATTGCTTGATTCCTCATGTTTTAATTTCTTCCTGTTTGTACCAATTGTCCTGACATTGCTCTCTTTGTGGGAGCTGAAAGGAATGCAGGCAAGATAATAGGGCTCTCAGAGATAATTACACATCTCTTCTGTGAATATTCTGGTAGAGATTTGAGATTTAAATTTGGTCTTACTATTGTAAAATAGATTAATTATCATGGAATAATAAATTGATTGATATCACTAAAGAATGACAGTCACTTCAAAGAATTGGATAACTCCAGTGAGTAACGTGCACACTTGAAGGATTTACTCTGTCCTTGCAATCTGAATGAAATTCCTTTACCTGGGAGGAAAACAAGTCTGTGCTTCTCTGAAAATGCGTGCAGTTCCTGTCAGCATTAATTGGAGCGCTGGGTGAAATTCGTAAAGAAAATGGATCCTGAACTGTTGTTCTCAGGCAGCAACAGAAGCAGCAATTGTGTGTTTGTAATTGTGCTGGGATGGAGCGGGCCCTGGAGCAAGCAGGGAGACTTGGAGATCTCCCGCCTCCCTGGCAGCCTTTCTGCCCAGTTCAGCTGTGCTGGCAGCACTGCTGTCAGATGCAGGCTGTTCTCAGAATAAAGCACAGCCAGCACCAGGGAAGAGGCCACAACAGTGAAGTTTCCCTTGGTTTCACAGGGTTGTATTTAACCTTCTGGCATATGTGAAGGCCATTACCCGGGTGTGATATGACATCAGAGATCCTGTTAGGTACTAATGAAACATTGGCATGTTCAGTCTGTTTAAATTCTGACTCTAAGAGTCAAAAATACAAATAGCTTGAGGCTTTCTGGTAGCAGTTCTTCCCTTCTTGCAGTATGCCTGAGGCCCTTGCTGGAATGATTTGAGTGACCGATCTTCAACTTGTGTTGGATGCAACCTTTTTATGCTTCAAAAATTGATACTGCTCAAATTTAGAGACATTCTGACTATGAGACCATTCCTCTACCTCTGCCCCCAGCCTCCATGTTCTTCTCAGGCTAACAGAGATTTTAGTTTATTCCTGGGGAGCCACCGAGGGCTGCTTCTCAGTCATCTCCAGATTTCTTGAGACTACTCTAAACATATAACAAGGTGTGTGTCACTGGGGGGGGGGAGGTGTCTTTCTTCTGAAAGCTTCCCAGATAAGATGAAGTTAGAAAGTGGCTGGATGTGGAACGTGAAATTCAGTCATGGCACAGTCATTGCTTATCAGTGAAGGTTTGAATAAAACCGTTCATGTTGCTTCTCAAAAGTTGACACCACTTTTTTGCATTAACAAAATAATGTTTTCCCTTCTCAAGCTTTGCAGTTACAGTCAACCAAGCCATCTGCCCATAGGGGAAGAAAACAAGTGATACTTCGCTGGTGACATTCAGCATTAAAACACTCAGGTGGAATGAGTAAACCTTGGTGAAATTGGAACTAAATGCAGACAGCCTTGACAGGTGCCAGGGCAGCCTAAAGGAATTGTGTAAGTTCTGCTTTTGCACCTTTATTGCAGAATCCTCAGTGAGTTCTGGAAAGAAACACTTTAAAGTCTGTTTAACGTCTGTGGAAGCGAGAACCAAAGTTTTTTTTGTTGTACTATTTAAATATCTTCTTGTGCTGGTATTGCATTGCTCAGCATAAAAGTCTAAATGGATTTCCTCAGCTAACAGAGTAAAATAGTGTACGTAATATCCCACCGTTCCTGCAGTTCCCATTGCCAGGACAGCTGCTATTAGAAGGAACTTACAGGAATAAATGCAATTCAGTTACATCTGAAATAAAAGCTGTGGGGAATATGCTGCTATGGGCTATGAAAATACCAGCAATATTGATCTTGGTGCTGTGTGTGATATTCTGGCTGAACTCAAATGTGACAGGAGAAAACATAAACGTGAAACTGGCTGCCTGGCACGTGGCTCAGCAGCCTTCCAGGGAAGGGACATTGCTGTGTGCTTCACCCTTGGGCTGGTTAGAAAGAGGTACAAAAGGAAAAAGGAGTTTTGGGTTTGTTTTTGAATACAAAGATATTCCTTGAGGCTGGGGCATAATAGGTTTGAGTGGAAGAGCTGACTAACTCTCAGTGGCTGGGTAGAAGTGTCTAAAACTGTAACTCTTTTTCCCCTCTGTCCCAAATTTTCTGCTTTTTCTTCCGTTCTGCAGGAACAACGTTTTCATTCTGTGCTGTCTCCAAAGCCCGGGTCTAAGTATAGACTCATGTTGACTGCACCAAAAAGTAAGGAAGTCTTAAGGGAAGCGGTATTTGAAGATTCTTGTGTGCTAGGGAAAAAAATCATAGAACAGCCTATAAACAATTACTTGCTAACAACTGAATATATCTAAACTAAAAAAAACCCCAACATATCTGTAAACTTTACTCTCAGAATTCCAGTTACAAGTGTGGGGCAGGATGTTACAACCAAAGCTATCCATGCCTTCAGTTAAAGAGAAACTTAAAACTCACGAAGGGTGATGAAGCATGCTGTAATTTGTCATTTACAGGCCAACAGCAAAATACAAGGGCTGCTCTGAAAGTAACGCCTCCTATTTTATGATATTGGCCCACAGCGTCAGAAGTGGATGTTCTTGGGGTGGCAGCAGAGGTTGAACCTTCCTGCCAGTACGCCATTACATGCTGTTGCTGTACAAGAGGTGGCAGCAGCTGGGCAGTCTGAGATAATGGTGTCTGACATGGAAGTGCCTGTGAAGCAAAGGTGGATCATTGAATTTCTCCATGCAGAAAAAATAGCACCTATTGACATTCACTGATGCTTGAGAACATTTGCGAAGACCGAACAGTGGATGTGAGCACAGTGAGGCAGTGGGTGGTGACTTTCAGCAGTAGCAACAGCAACAGTGGTCAGTTCTGTTGGCGCATGTCATTATGAGTGCGGCATGCAGATGTTGGTTGTCGCTGGAGAAACACACAGCTAATGGTGGTCACTACGTTGAAAAATTGTTTTGTAGCTGTGAATCTGCTCAGTCAAATAGTGTTATTGTGCACTCTGTAGCTGTTGTAGTTTCCACGAAATTAAATAGGAAGCATTACTTTTGGAACAACGTACATGTATATGTACATCTACAAACCCATATGGTGATTCAGAACCATCTCTCTCCAGTATTACATATTTTGAAGACATCTGTCTATTCCAGTGCTTTAAGCAGTTTCAGAGTCAGTCTTTCACCAGTGCCATAAAGCTCTTATGTTCTTCTCCATTAATGAAAGTTCTGAAGGCAGCCACAAAGCTCACAGTGCTCTTTTCACACAGGCACAGGCCTAGGTGTCTGGGTTTTGTTGTGCAGAAATTCTGGTGTTTCTTGAAAGTGTTAGCAGTAGAGTCTCATTTACTTATTTCATCAGTCAGAATAACTTTCTCTGCTTCTCTCAGTCCAGGTCGTGACAGCTTTATGGCTGACAGGATGAGATGTCTCTGCAGTTTTGAACCTGCTTGGTTTGCCATTTATCGAGAGGTCAGAAGAGAGGGCAGCACTGAATCGGAAGAGGCAGCTCAGTGCTGAAGGGAAGGCACAAACACTGATGCTTTCTCTATAGCTCTTTTGCCATGTTCTGCTGAATCCTTAAGCTCTTGGTGCTGTTCAGCAGTGGCTTTATTTGTTTATTTTCACATAGTTGCTCTATTTGTGATATACAAAACTGCATAGCATTTCCCTCATTATCATTTTGTGTTCCCATTTGATTTTTGCATACAGAACTTTTCTGCTGGAGAAGACTGGAAACCCTGGAATGTATTTATTTATATTCCTATTACCAGCGTAAGACTGTGTGTACTGCAGTTCACAGTTCTGGCTCCCGAGCTGTTGTCATCTGCTGGAGTCGTGTTTGTGTCAGAAGACGTGCTGCTGGCACCATCTTGTTTTAGCTGTGCTAAAGGCTGCCTCTAGTCTTTCTTGTGCTGATCGAAGCCTCAGATTTTCCCTTGACAGGAAAGTGCATGATACCTTTCAACCCAGAATAGCTGTGTTGGAAGGAACCTCAAGGATCATAAATCTCCAACCCCCTGCCACAGGCAGGGCCACCAACCTCCCCATTTATTACCAGCCCAGGCTGCCCAGGGCCCCATCCAACCTGGCCTTGAACCTCCAGGGATGGATGGGGCATCCACAGCCTCTCTGGGCAGCTGTTCCAGCACCTCACCGCTCTCAAAGCAAAGAAATGTACAGTGTGCTGTTGTTGCAGCATGCACAACTTCGGTGGGAATATGGCTGCAGCATGATCTGTGCCTTTTTATCTCCTGAGAACACCTACAGCCATGTCCACCCGCTGGCTGCCTGCTTCACAGCAGGCAGTGGTTGTGCTTCCTCATATCCCTGCTCTTGGATGTGGGACCAGCAGTGCTGGCTGGTGGAGCTGATTATATTTACATTTTGTTTTCACTTTTGTGTAAGATACTGCAAATGGACAAATCATGGGAAATGGAGGTTGGTTTGGCATACAGGGTGATGGCAGTGCAAGCAGGTAGCTGTACATAGAGGTGATGACAGCAGCTAACAAAACTTCTCACATTACACAAAAATGGGAAGAGAAGGAATATTATTTTGATGAAAATTCAGTAATCTGCTGGAAAACATAAGCTTTGGTCAGTATGGATCAGTTATATTCTATACATGGCTTCCACATGGAAAAAAAAAAACTGCGACAAAAGAGTTTTTCCAATAGATACTCTTGAGTAAATCAAAGCTGCACAAAAAGTGCAGCAACAGCAACTTGGAAATTCCAGTCTTCCATTTCTGTTTTTTCTTTCAGTCAGTTCTGCAGTGCAGCAGAACACTGTCCCACACGTCACATGAGGACTCCAGTGACTCTTCAGAAATTCTGTAGAACAAGAGAAACTTGGAGGAGCTTGTATTTTTTTCCTTGGTGGGGATGCAAGTCTTTGCTTAAAACAACAATCAAAAATTACCTTGGGTCTAATAAGGCTTACTTTCAGTTCAAACTTGGTGTAACAAGACTGTTATCTTGTACTGCAGAATATGCAGATAAATCATAGCTTTGAAGATAATGTAGCTTGATAGAAGACAGAAGGTAGAAGTTTATCTGCTGAATGTATTAGGCCAGATCTTTGGCTGGAAATTACTTGGGTGGAGCTAAATTAATTTACACCAAAAACACATGTGCTGCTGCTGTCTGAAGGATACTGGTGAGCAGGAAATGTGTTGATGACTCAAAGACTTTGATAGCTGAAGAATTGGATGTGCTGGAGAAATCTGGTTCAGAAATGCCGCTGTTGTTTTTTGTAGATTCCAATGTGAAGGATGTTCCATTTGAAGGATTTCTCATAGCAAGAGGATCAAAATATGTGAATAACAACTTACCTGGTTAAAGAAAAGTATCCCATAGAAGAGCATTTGCCACGCTCTGTATACAGTCCTAAAAAGCTCACTGGGAATAATCACAAATAATAGATTTTTTTTTTCTCTCTCTAAAAGGAGGGGAATTATTTTTTTGGTTTTTTTTTTTTTGGTTTTTTTTTTTTTTTGTTTCCATTTCCTTTATGCCTCTTTAAATGTTTTTTTTTGTTTCATCACAGTGAAAATGTTAGAAATATATTCATTTGAAGATTTGCACACCCCATCAGATGCACGCAAAAGGATGCTGGTTTTGGAATGTTTCTGTTCTTTCTCAAAAAAAAATAATGGAGCAAAGAGAATAGAAAGAGAACCAACAGGGTTCTATCTTTGGCATTTTCTAGGGCTGAAGTCCTCAGTCCTTGTTTATGTAGCTGGCCTGGCTTCAAACCAAGGCTTTGTGAAATTTCTTGGATCAAACCTTTGTTCCACGTGCATCAAAGGCAGTCTCCTGGCACAATGTGCTCTTGGAAATAGTGCTGTTCTGAAATTTGTAGTAGAGTAGCCTCTCTTTGTAATGGAAAGTACCTGAGGGTTAATGCTGTTTCTGTCCACCTTCAACGACTGGCTTTGGGTTGTGTCTCCTAATTCCCTCTGACTTCAGGCACCAGAAGACTCTCAGCTGCTTGTTCTGCACCCTCCCGCAGCACAGCTGCTGCTCCCAAGCCTACAGATGAACACTTTCAGAACCTGCATTGCTTTTTGTCTTCTGGCTTTTACAATATTTACACACATGTAGGAGTGCAGCCCAGTGAGAAGCCATCTCTTAAGACTGAAGCTGACTCATGTTGGGAACAGTGCAATTCTAGTGCAGTGCCTGTGGTTTTCAAGGAGTTTGTAAATGTAGAGAAAAAGCCATACGTGATTTTTACTGTGTTAATAAATAAACCTGATGTGTGCTGAGGGTTGTTACTTTGGAAAACGTAGGCAATTTTAATCCTCAGTGTGGAAATCAAAGCATCAGTACATCACTGGGGGAAGACGATGGACTTTTGTTCCATGTGCTGTACACGGCTCAGGCTTTCTGGCAGTGTCCCTGGGATCATATTCATTTCTTCTGAAGCTGCAAATTGATTAAATTAGATCAGTGAAAGGCCACTCATGGCATGTTTTGCTTTT